TGCAAGGCAGAGAACAATAGATTTGGGACGTCCTGGAGCAAATGTGTGCAGGAAAATGTGAATTCATTTCGAGCACGTATATTTGTGACACCTGCAGAACATACATGGAGACAGCCACTGGATATTAGCATCATGAAATCTCTTACTACTATCAGCTATACTGGACATAACTATTAAGATGTCTGTGACACATAGAGGCAAATGAAATTTTAAAATTACCTAGGAGAATGGAGGCAGTTAAGAAATGCACTAGGACAGAGCCCAGAGACAAAATCATTAATCAACAATCCGTATCTAAAGGAAATATTGGACCTATTTCAGCTTTATTCATATAGCTATTTTATACTAAAACCTCCTCCTTTCCAGTGTCTGTTTTTCACCTTTTTAGTTGATTATGGTCTTATTTTATTTGTGCTGATATTTACTCAGATATTTTATTTGCACTCTCTCAAGAGCGTTCACTCGAGTTATGTTTCTGGTTTGAGATAGGATATCTTCTAGTTATTTCTTCAGTGTTCCTTCCACATGGAAGTTTTACCTTTCACCAGAAATGTACTAAAAAAGCACTAAGGTTATGTTATGTAAACTTATTGCCAGTTCTTCTTTCCTCACTTTAATTAAAAATATAGAAGAGAATGTGGAGGGAGAGCAGGTTGGAAAAAATATAGGAACTAAGTGCATCATGTAAGTAGAATCAGAAAAACTGAACAATATTAAATCCATGTAATGAAGTCTTTCAGGTCTGGATGATAACTTTTTGAAAATTCCATCCTTACCATGGTTAAACATTGCAGTAACTGGGCATGGAAGTTTACACCTATAATCGCTCCCCTCTGGAGGCCAAGACAAGAGGATCACTGCAGAGTTTGAGGCTAATCTGAGTTACATAGAAAGTTCAAGACTACCCTGAATCTCATAGTGAGACCCTATCTTAAGGAAAAAAAGTTTGAGTATTCAATGAAAATAAACACTAACTGCCCACAGTGTCCAAGAGAAGCTTGAAAATTGAATTCTGAATAGACTTTCAAAAGAATTTTTTCTCTTTAAGGTATTGTGCACAGTCACATCTAGTAACATTTTCTAGTATTCACCATTATGTAATGCTGTATCATTTGTGGAAACTTAATTTACTCACCAGAGAAGCAGAGTGTTATTTCCTTCTCAGGAACTCAATTTTCCAACCACCTGCAATGTTCTACAACTTTAAACACTGCTCATATTGATGTGCCCCATAGTTAAAGCAATTTCCTATACAAGAAACCGGTGCTAATTCCCATGAAATAACATATTTAGGAAACATAGATCTTTTTTCCACTAGCTTACCATTCAGAGAACAGTACAAATATAGTAGATCTGGATTTCAGAAAGGCTTTTAACACGTACTTATTCTTTTGAATAAAATGGAAAACTATATACAAAATTATAGAGCATCCTTCACTGTGTCTCTAGGGACTAGAATGTGAGTGCCTAAAGGAAATTGGTTATCATTGAATTACTCATGGATTAATTTAAATTTTTTTAAGTGGTACATTCTTAAGAGTTGACTGTCACTCACTGCGAAGCAGTTTGTGTGTTACTTAACATAATGGCAACATGAGTAGTAAAGTAAAAAATTGGTGATCTTCTCAAATTATGCAGCTATATTAGCAGAATGAAGCTATATTAACAGAACATTTGGTTTGGAAAATAATACTACTCCCTGAAGAGCAAAAGTTCAAATCCGGGTATCCTGATGTTAAGAGATAGTTGCCTCGTTTGCTAGAGGAATGAGTACAGTGATGTGGGAATTCAAAAGCATGTTGTACAGAAAGCAGGCAAAGGCTGGTAGCATGTGCTGAGATCCCTGGCAAATGTCCTTTGTGTTACAAATCAGTTAACAGGACACATTGCCACTCTCCCTGGGGCCTATCCTGCTGATGAACATTACAGACAAATTCTTCCCTCTGAGACGTGCAGCATATGGAGTGAAAATTTAATTAAAACAGCGACAGAACACTAACCAAGTAAGAGAAGAGAAACAAAGAGGGCAAACAGAAGGAGACAGTGATGCAGAGAGAGATTGAGACAAGAGTAGGAAGGAGGAGAACAAGGACTGCTGACAAGGGACAATGTCCTGGTCTCTTATGCATCTCCCCAGTGGCAGGACTCTCAGTGCCCGCCCAGTAACAGCCTTCTTGGAGACGTATTCATTAGTTTCATCAGTTATGTATTCAAAGTATATGCTTTGAGCACCAGCCGTGTCTTATCTACTGCTCTAGGAAAAAGAATACAGCAGAAAAAGAAGCAAAAAAAAAAAAATCTTGTTCCCCTAGAATTCACATCAAGTGGAAAGAAATAAAATTTACTTAGACTTTTGTTTTTATTAATATTTGTAAATATTATACTCAATGTTCTGTAAAAATATGCAGTGCAGAGGAGCAAAGGTAGGAAGAAATAGGGAGACCTCATTGGATGGAAATTATTGCAGTCATTCAACACACACACACACACACACACACACACACACACATGACATAATAGCATGGACAGAAATGGATGGGTTTAGGTACATGTTTAGAGGGAAAATCAAAACATTGAATGGTGGTAGATTTGAAAGAATGAGAATTCTGGTTTGAACATCTGCATAGAGGCATGGTTTTGTAGTAAGATACAGAAGGTTTAAAACTGGGGAAAATTGGAGGCTGATCAAGTGTCAAACGAGATACAGATTAGACTTGTGAGTGAAAGTATCAAGCTAGCAACTGTATATGCATATAGATGATGGACTTTAGGGGGTTTGCTAGCTGCAGAAACATATTTAGAAGTTACTTCTTTGTATGTAGTACTGGTGTTTCACATAAAGAAGGTGGAGCAAAAGACAATTGAGAGTCACTTTAATATTTAGAGGCCACACAGAAAAAGAGAACAAAGAAGCCTAAGAATTCAGAAGAAAGGTATTCTCAGAAGTCAGGGGAGATATGTCTTGAAAAGAATCAATAGTACCACATCCTGTGAAAAGTCAAGTAAAAAACTGAACAGAGAAAACTTACCACCCATGTGGAATCATGTATGTATCTTTGGTGATCTTGAGAGGGACAATTTGTAGAAAGGTGGAAATTAATGTCTGATTGAAGTGAATTTTGAGGCAAAAATGTAAGATAATAAAGACCATATAGCAATCACAGATACTTCTTTTAGAAAGTACACTTTAAGGACAAGCACATGAGATGTTGATTTGGTTTGTTGTCAGTAAAATCAGGGAAACAATGGCTTACAAACTGCTGATATCTACACTGCAGGACTGCGGACATCCATGCAGGAGGTGGAGATGAACTGCAGGTATAGCTGCAAAGACTCAGACATGGTGTGAGGCACAGAAGTCAAAGGCAACAGCTAGCCTTCAGGAGGAGCAGGAAGTCGTCATTTGAATTAAGTAGGAGAACAAAGGGCATACAAGTGTACCAAATGCTAATGTCAGAAATTTTAATGTTCAATGAAAGTGGAATCTGCTTTGTGTCTGCTTTAAGGGTTTTTTTTTTAGTATCTTTATATTCCTTTTTATATTCCTTAAGGACATATCCTGGAAAGCAGAGTGAGGTGCAGTAAAACAGGGAAGAAACAGGCTTCCACTCAAACTCCTCCTAAACTAACCACTGTGGGTCCGCTGAGGAAGATTCACACCTGTGTTCCCATTTGACTCATCACTGTCAGTAGACAACAAACAGACGTGATACTCTGTATCAGCGGTGAGGGAAAATACTTAGCTTTCATCTCATTTCATCATTTTTCTTAGATACACTTCTTTATTTTTTTTAAATTGGTGTATATTTATGATACATAGTAGTAAATTTATTTCTGGACATGTATATAACATATCTTGATCATTTTTTATCCCGTTTCCTGTCCTCCCTTAACTTTTATAGCTTGAGTGTGTTAAAATGAAAATAAAAGGAAAAAGGCTCTGTCAATGAGGAAGATTTCTGAAGGACAACAGAAGAAAAGAAACTAGTATTAGTGATTTTAAATTAAAAGGAAAGAGATATGAGTTTTTCTAAGTAAATAAAGTAGGTTATTAGTTTCAGAGGTCTAAACATATTTAATTGAATGCTGTTTAATTTCAGGCTGACATATTTTTGAGATAAGCTTTAGATGAATCTTACAAAGGTTGGAAAGATGACTCATTCCTGATATTTTGTTATTGTGGATACTGAATTTTCAAAAAAAAAAAAGCACACATAAGAAGGTAAAATAATATTAATCATCAGAATTTATACATTAAATGAATTATGTAAAATAAAATACCTTCATAAATTATAACACCCTTTACAAAAGAAGCTCCAGTTATTCAGAATTTTCTTTCCTATCTGTTGCTTGGCTTTGACACAAAAATTTATAAATTTAGATGGTAGCTATTAACCTGAGTATTACAAGTAACAATATTAAAGCCAATAATTTTTTTTCAAGTTTACAAAGCTAGAAATGGAATCCCAGGCCAAGAAGTCTAGTGTTCCCCAATCTGCGGAACTCTATTTTATTGATTAGGTTTTTAGTCCCTGAAGGATCAGAACATATTCATCTTTTCACCTGAAATGTCTAGCATCGTGTCTGAAATTGCTAACCCATTAAATATTGTTAAGCTAGTGAATATATGATAAAGTAATGAATAATAGTCTCTAAAATAATTTCTTTCTGGTAAGTGGACAGTAGTGAAATTCAGCTCTTGCAGAGCCTGAATTTTACTATAGGTTTTTATCTGAAATAGTTTCCTCTTGATTATACAATGGCCATATTTGTCTTATGATAACTGGCTTTTATTTATCATCATGTAATTTAGCAGAAAGCACCAGTGTGAATAATGGAATTTTCTTTTTATCACAGTAAGAGCTCTTACTCTACTTCTATGGGCTTCAGAGGGAAAAAAAAAGGACTAAAGATGACCCTCTAAATCTTTCCCTATCATTACCCCATAAGTATTGGACACTGTTATAATATTTTTATTAAAATGGTTTAATGCAAAGTATAGAAATATATAAGAATTTATAACATTAGCTTACAGTGGCCACCCACAGAGTCAGATGTGGCAGAATGCAAAAGGTCTTCTGCCTGAGGGGGATCCAAAGGATCTAGTCGAAGGCCTGGAGCCCACTGGAGTGTCCCACGTAAGTCCATATTAGGAGGCCGAAGGGTCTGCATCCAGAGGCTGAAGAGTCTGTGCCGAAGCCAGGAAAGGAGTCCAAGGCAAAGACTGGAGCTCCCCGAGGAAACAGAAGCAAGCCTTCATTTGTTTCCCTTTTATACCATTCTGGCAGCAAACCTCCCTAGGGTGAGTCTTCTACACCTAAAATTAATTTGAGCCAATTCAATTGCGCGTTCTTTACTCAAGTTCACAGAGCAAGTTAACTATCACACATGGTCATAAGGTTTTCTGTGCAATGGACATAGTTAGGGAGAAGCTTGGCCAGTGAGAGAGTGGCAGCCACAGGAAGATCACCTGACTTCTTCCTCAACACAACACTGGGCAGGGGCAGCCATTACCTGGCAACTCCTGGGCCACTTCTGTACTATGGAGGCCTGCAGTGAAAAATGGACAAAAACCTGGGGTAAAAGCTTCAGTTATGTGTGGAAACAAAGTATACAGTATGTGCCTAAATTTGAAAAAAAAAATACCCCAGTGGAAAAAACTCACTGCTCTTAATCCCCCCCAAATATTCTTCACAATGAACACACTAACCCCATCACTCTTGCCATTTACTGACGCTGTTCTAGAAGCCTCCGTTCACGCCTTTACAAGGTGCGATCAGACATACGGTGAGTGCTGCCCAGCAAAGAAGTGGACTCAAAAATCTTTGTCTTCCTTATTCACAGATTTGGAACCGTGTGACTTTGACACTTTCTCAAAGTCAAAATGACAATGAAAGGTAAACACTTCGAACCAATTCACAATATCCAGGTGGCCACCTTGGAGCAACTAAAGACACAAAAGAATTTCCACAACTGTTTCAGAACGTGGCCCAAGTGGTGGGACAACTGCGTTTGAAGTGAGGAGGTATCTTGAGTGGGATCAGTAGCAATGGATATTTTTCTGTGATACTGTACATTTATAATTTTTACTAGTATATTTTTATAGTACATAATGTTTAACTTCCTTGTGAGGAGTTGATATTCATACCTAACACTTCTCATTTGAGAAAGACCTACCTTCCTACCTCCTATTATCTATCTTTTAGTTTGCTCTTTGTTTATAATTTGAATTTCTCATGTAAGAGAAAGCCTGCGATATTTAAACTTATATGTCTGATTTATTTCACTTAACATTGTGGCTTCAAGGTCCATCCAGTTTCCTGCATATTTAAATTAAAATTTAAGTATCAGCATTTTGGGATCACACCTCATATTTAACAACAAAACTTTCATAGGATTCCAAAATAGAGAATGAAAGGAAGATTTGAAATTTCTAGATTCCTCTCTTCCCTTTAATCTTGGGAATGGGAGTTTTCTCATTGGTGTTTAAGATTGAATCAAATGTTTGTTTTTATATATTCCTTGTAAAATTGATAGACAATAATTCCCATTAAAAAGTAAAGTGGACTTTGGAAAATAATACAATAAATATTTGACATTAGACAAAATTACTTGAAGCAAAAAAAATAAATGTTTTCTATCCTTTTAAAACCAAGAAACTAACTTTGGTTTTAGTTTTTTGTGAATACCTCAAAATGATCTACCATACCTCATGACTTTGCTTGGAAAAACAGACAATGCATAATGCATATTATTCATTTAAATCCTTCCCATTTGTATTTTATGTTGCTTAAACAATTTAGGTTGTAACTTTAAGTCTATTGATTTCTTTCCTCTCTTTGACAAAACTTTTATAAACCAAAAATAATTCATCTCTTCACAGTATTATATATAATATGAAATCACTGTTTCTCAACTGTAGATGCTTTATATGTGTTATCGTTAGATGATTTTGTGATATTTTAAAACATTGCTATTTGATTAAAATATACATCAATTTTTTCTATGCATTTTCCCATATAGATTAAAAAATAGACTCTCCAATGTTTAAAGATTTTATTTTGTAGATTTTGGTTAAAAATAATGAATTTATAAGTTTTAATGTGGGATATTTGCCCATTGTACTATTAATCTTCCAACTGAGAAAGATTTTATTTCATATTTTAGTATATATTTATTAAAATGTATTTTATATATAAACCAGTGCATTTAATTTTAGTTTCACCTTTGGTTTTTTATTGTTTATACTGCTACTTTGATAAAGTCTTTGCATTATGTTTCCCGAGAGATTATTAAGGGTACTATTTTAAAATTTTGTACCATTTTATAGGGATTTGTAATAGGCTATGCTACTAATATATTTAATTTATGAGATTGCATTAGTTTCTTGGGATTTTTAGTAAACAATTATATTATTTAAAGATTTTTCTAATTCTTTTTCTCTTCATAATGATTAAGATATCTCAGTCAATTCATTTGACATAATTGGCTAGATTTTAAAAAATATTGTGTAACATTTAAGCAAATGTTACCTTTATTGAAACTATTCCCCCTTTGAACAATTAAATAGTATTTAAAATAAAAGGCTAAAAACATCAGTGCTGAATTTGATTAAATTCTTGTTGAAATATACTAAAAACTCAATCACTGTTTGTGAATCTTTTTTTTTTAATTTTTGGTACTAGGAATAGAACTTGGGACCTTGCGCTTTCGAGCCAGGAGGTGGCACCACTGAGCTAAACCCTAGCCCCCCAGTTGTAGTTTGTATGTACATCCTAATAATGTCAGACTATATGGATGGTCCTTGGGGATAAATAAACTGAATTACTGGCATCGATCCTATTGGGCACTGAAGAGAGAGAGGCTTTTGATTTGAGAGAGAGAGAGAGAGAGAGAGAGAGAGAGAGAGAGAGAGAGACCAAGAGAAAGAGAAAGCAAGGAAGAAAAAGAGAAAGGAAAGAAAGAGAAAGAGATTGATTTTGGGCTAACCATTTCATTTAGAAAAGCAAACATACACTCATTTTCTGGAAAGACTGATTTATAAACCTTTCTTTATTCTAACTTTAACTTTTTGTACTACAGTTTTGTTTGATAAAAGAAGCTTAGAAGCTCTAATTTTTTTACATTTTGTATTCACAAAAAAGCAAATATATGATCTTGAACATTTAAATTAACTTACCAGTAGAATAATCTTGTCTCAAAACCTTTTCTGTGGACATAATCTATCGGTAGCATCATTTTAAAGGTATTTCACGTTACTGGCTTGTTCAAAGTTATTCTGTCCCTTCAAATGATTTTTTTCTGAAATTATCTATTATTTTAAAACACTCATTTCAACTGGTTTAAATAAAGAAGCATTTTCTCCCCAGATATCATCTCTCCAAATTAAAGTTAATAGGCTGCTAAAGTCTCCACTCAATCCCCCAAATAATTAGGAAATATTAGGAGACATGGTTGTGAGTTAGCCCCCTAGAGGGTTCTCTTTTCAATGTGTTCTCACCTGCTCCAAATTTTGCAGACCTCCTCAAAGTTTTTGTGAGGTAAATGGTACCTAGTGTTGCTTCTGAGGAAAATAACTAGTACGCATTCTAGCATATTCTCTCCCATATTGATGTCATTTGGTCATGGCAGTGAGATTCCAGTACAGAATAGATCACATATAATCAAGTCACTAATTTAACTTACAGTGAAATTCTCTGGGAACTAACATTTTACTTTAAATCATTATATGTAAAATGCTAAGGAACGCGAAAGTTGTTCAATTAAGCTAAATGACTTCTAAATTGCTAAAAATACACAACCCTCCTTGTCAAGAATGATAAGGGTAAAACCCTCATTGGCAAGTTTGCTGAATGTCAACAGACATGTAATACTTCTGCAAAGCGAGAAGAGAGTATTTCTTGCCTTTGCTGTTCCCTCATAAGCAAACTTTGTGTTCAAGCAAAATTGTTAGAAGTTATACAAAATCTGTGAGACTACCATTCTCAAAGACATTTATGTTCAGCATTTAACAGCTGTAAGGAAATTGTAGCTTCTTTTCTCATTAAGAAGCAACGCAGGATCTTTCTGCCCAGTGAACTGACATTGTACCCCCTGGTGAAACTTCCTCGGCACTAGCAGCTTTCTTTAAATGGCTTGACAAAATGGCTGGAACAATTCAGTTGGATTCTGAATTGCTTTGAGTTGTGCCAAATTTAGTACACTAATAAATCTATTCATGCATTTTATGGCACCTATCAACTTTAGTACCTAGGTGATCACCCAGCTATATTGAAATAGGAAATAATTTAGGAAGTGGGAATTATTTTATGGAGCCGGGATTGGATGGATAAGTCTCTTCAGGCAGACCAACTTTATGGATTCCTATTTCACATGATTTTGAAATGTTATATATACTTTCATAAGAAATTATTTAATAAAGAGTTATCAAAGCTATTAACTATAGTTTTCTTATAGAAGGCAGATGTTTTAGGGATTAAGTAAATTAAACAACAAGATCTTTTCTATTTATTACCTGAAGTTGATAAGAAAAATGAGACCTTTGTTTAAGCTATTCAATCCGAATCTTGTGGTGGTGGTGGTGGGGTGCACTAATGTAGCAAAATAAGGATGAAGTCTCCATAGAGAGAAAATTCACATCTCCAAGATATTTCATGAGCTATGCTTCAAACCTGAAGTTAATTTTCCTACAAGAAGTTGAGCATAGTATTTTATGTTCTCTGTATATACTCAGATCTTATGGAATGCTGCACTACAAACTCTTTCAGAGTTAATATGAAAGGTTTCATGCAGTAAGTTTTCCTAACTTCTAGTCTAGACACAAGTGAGATCGATAATATGAGACACATGTCTTTATCTATCATATACAAATACCTTTCCCCCTTTTATTTATTCACATAATTGAGACATGAAACACTTGGAAGGGATGAATACACACAAATGCAATGTATTGCTTTCGCTGAAGCCTAAAATTTTCATTTCTGAATAGAATAATTTTGAGTCTAAATGTTAATGGTCATGAAATGTGGTTATACACATTCTAATATATCCTTAAAATGCATTTTGGGCAGGGGATTTAGCTTAGTGGTACCACTGCCTACCTCACAAGTGCAAGGTCCTGAGTTTAATCTCCAGTACAGAAAAAAATTATCATTTAAATCTGATCATATTAATACATTCATAATATAATCATACATCATTTTTGCACATGATCAGTTATGAATATGTCAAGTGGAGAGTATTTTATCACCCCTGAAAAAATGCACTTTATATATTTTTTTACATTTTGGATTTGGAGTCAGAATTGAATTTTACTTG